TAGAAAACACTCCCAACCTTGGCCCCCAACCCCTTGCTGGGCTGCAGCTCCATCCCTCATCATCCCAGGGCAGCCGGACAATGGTCATCGAGTCCTCACGGGCTGCCCCTACAGTCCCACAGCCCCAAGGGTGGGTGACCTGTGGAGCAAAGCCCCTCAGTGAGGGTGCCCCTCACCAGCCCCCCCAGAGCAGGGCAGCTGCAGCAGGACTGCCCCAGGTAAGGGTTCCCTCTGCAGGCACAACAGGCCTGAGGGCCACGGCCTGATTGCTGAATCCTCCGCTCTGCTCCTCCTGTGCAAGCGGAGCTGTTCCCTGCCCAACGGGAATGAGGTCCCTTCCCTCAAAAGCTCTGATGTCCCACTCATCCCTCTCAACACAGCACCTGAGACCTTCCTCACCATGACACGAGCAGCTCTTTGAGAAACCCTCCCCACGGAGCTCAGGAGGAACAGAACCACACACAGCCATAGGTGTCTGAGGAGTTTATTGCTGCTCTGTTAGTAGAGGCGCTGGGGCTTCCCCATGGTGCTCTTGATGTACAGAGCTCGCACATTCTGCCAGTTCTTCTTCAGCAGGGACACCAGGAAGTTGATGGCCAGGTGGATGTTGTAGACAAGTTCATCCTCCGTCATCTTCACGTGCCCAACAGCCACAGCCAGACAGAGCACCTGGGGACAGACACCAGGTACAGGTTCCACGGCAAAGCAAAGCAGCCTCATGCCAATCTGAAGCCATCGCTGAGGGACTCTCCCAAACTTCATGGTCAGGCCCTGCACCACTTTCACTTGCTGCTTTGGGCACCAGCCCCCAGCCCTACCCTTCTGAGCCTCCCGAGCAGCTGGGACAAAATGCTCCCTGAAGGCAGATTTACGAGCCAGCTGATGGGCCGAGTGCTGGGACATCATCAGTTCAGTTATTTTGCATGCTCAAGCATTTGCAAACTGTTTGCTGTGCCCTCCCAGCTGTCCAGGCCCAGATCAGCTGGAGCCCAAGGGGTGACTTTGACTGCCAGAGCGCTTAGTTCAGAGGGACACCCATGAATCACTCTTGGCCTCTCTGACACAGGAGTGAAGTGCCTGAACAGGGCTGCTCTGGTGTAGAGCATCAGCTCACCCTAACAGCAGAGCAGATGCCTGCAGAGCTGCTCCCACACTCAGTGGCAGAGCCAAGCTCTGGCACAGCCCTGCTTATGCTCAGCCCCCGGGGTGTGCCCAGCTGGGACCCATCCTGTGAGCATCACCCGAGAGCTGGGAGAAGCAACAATTACACTGGATTGTGCTGAGCACTGAAACATCAGATCATCTCCTGCGCATGTGCTCTAGGATCTGGCAACCACAGGTAAGGCATTCCTCCATTCTGACCAGCAGCAGAACACTCTGGGTACCACCTCCCTTTGCTGGAGGAGACAGTCACCAGCCAAGGCTTTGAGAGATGCTCGAGGGACACCTACAGACCAGCGTGGACATGGCAAGGACAGAAGCACCTCGGGGAGGAGAAGCACTGCCTTACCTTCTTCATCTGAAATTTGATGGTCGATTTGACCTCATCAACCTTGGCCACCAGGTTCTCGTTGTGAGTGAGCAGGGAGGGGAACTTGCCGGCTTTGTTCAGACCCGGGCCCAGGATTCGAGGGATCTGTTTGATCAGGGACTCCGAGGCCAGGAAGGCATCGTACTTCTTAGCTGCCAAGGGAGAGGGGAGGTGAGGACAGGCTTGGCACCCGCACCGAGCCCCAGACAAGGCCATGCAGCTCCGCATCCCCAGCAGCCGACCCCAACCCTCCCGGGGTGCGGCCCCAACCCCAGCTGGGTCTGCCAGACACCCCCCAGGAGCCACTGCCACAGCAAGCACTGCCAGCAGATCCCAGCCGAGTGCCCACAGCTGCTCCCTCCCCGAAGGAACTGCCCTGCTGAGCCCCAAGGGGCTGACGCCAAGCTCCACCAGGAGCCTCCTGCCACAGCCAGGGCATGGAGCGAGACCCATCTTGGAGAGACTGAGCTAACAGCTGTGGTATCCCAAGTCATCTCCTAAGTGCACATGGTTCCGTGGCTGATTATGGAGCGAGTTCCCGTCTGCCTGAGGAACACACTACAGCGACTCTGGAGCTCCCAGGGAGCAAAAGACTTTCTCTCCAACCAAGAGGAAACAAACACGTTTCACTGTTGATGCAGGACCTACAGGGCTAAGTGGAACTCTCATCTCCAGCATTGCTCTGCTTTCACTGCACTCCAGCCCCCTGACCAAGCAGCTGAGGAACACAGCAAAGTCAGGTGTATGTTCCTGTGTCCCTCCCTTCCTTCCCTGCTGCAGCACTGACCTGTCACACCTGCACTGGAACAGCCTGGAGGCATTTCTGGGCAGGCTTTGGTACTGGGCTGGTTCTGCTCAGCTCTCTGCCCCATGACGTGACATCTGCACGGCATGGGGTAGCCCCCCGCTCACCCCCCCCTCCCGCCACGGAGCCGCGGGACACTCACCCAGCTTCTTCACCAACTTCTTGTTCTTGTTGAGTTTCTTCAGCGCTTCTATGTCCATGTGAGGAATGTCAACCGCTTTGGCCTCGTCGCAGTGCTGCTGGTCGCCCAGCAGGCACACCGAGAACTTGGGCCGCGGCGTCGA